AAAAAAAATGTTACACATCATTTCATTTGTCTTACCCTGACTCAGACTTGGGTCTGTCCCCAAACACTGCCCCCTGCTGACTATGGTGATGGGTGACCTCTGCTTTTAGCCCATCACCACAGTCAGCAGGGGGCAGTATAGGTACTTGGGCAGCAGCATGTACCATGCTCAGTGGTAACTTGGCAGCTGGTGGACTCAAACCTGAAACCTTCCAGACAATAGTCCACTTCCTTAACCACTAATCCACTACTGCCCCCTACATTTGGTTGTGTGCAGTGCAGTGCTGTGTCACAGTGACAAGTACAGTCGTTCAGTCTCACTGACTCATTCACAGTGACTGAAACTCTGGATCAGGTTTGTCTGAAGTGGGAACAGAAGAAAGTACAGCTCCCCTGAGGCTTCATTAGGAGCTCCTCCTCTTCATCCTCATCATCATCATCATCATCTTCATCTCTGCCTCACTTCTTATCCTGATAGAACTGATTCAGAAAAGTAGGTCAATTAACACACACACCTGTGAAGTGATGTTTCACACAGAGAACGTGACACGATGATTTCCTGCCAGATACTTTTTCCTCTTCTTCAAACACCGTCAACATTTTTATGTCCCGAGAATTCCAGTTCTGAAGTTGGAATGTACTTCCTGATCTACAAACATTCCAACATACGCCCCCCTGTGGTGACAGATTCTATTGCTTCACAACAGAAACTGGACGTGATTGGACGAAGGGAACACGATCACAGATCATCGCAGATTTTACTGCCAGCTGTGACCCCCCCCCGCCACAGCTCTGTGGCCACACTAAGGGCCCCCGCCCTCCTCTTTGGGAACCACTGCTTTATTGTGCGTAGTACCACACGTAGCCACACGTTCTGACGAACCACATTTTTAAAAAAATCCTTGACTCTGAAACATCCTCCACGTTCACGTTTATAAGAACAAAGAGAGAGAAAAAAAAAAGGAACCATCACAAATGTGACTTGGCCTCACCACAGGGATGTTGTTACCATGGTTACCACTCATGACGGTTCACACTAACTTCACGCTGACGCTCAAACCCATGGACCCCGATCAGCAGGTCATTATTATCAACTGTCCATCAACCTGTGGACGGGGCCGGAGTTTATCCAGCAACTCTGTGGTGATTGGACGACACACACAGAGCACGGATCACAGCAGACATTTTTACATTTGATTGTAACTGACGTTGACAACACCTCCACCTCTGACGGTCAGCCTCCGTCAGCTCTCAGTGACATCATCACAAACAATCGTTAAATAATGAAAATTAATAATTAATTATTGTGATCAACTTGAACTGCAGTTAATTAAGAAATGTAGCAGAGACGAAGTCTGTCGTGTCTAGGTCTACGGTCCATACAGTGGTTCCCAAAACTGAACGTCAGCCCCCGCTGGGGAACAAGAGTTACTGCAGATGAAATTATTTTATTTTTCACATTTTTTTTTATTTTGCCACAGTGAGGACATTTTAATGATTTCTTTCATGTTTTTCAGTGAGAATATTTAAATATTTTAAATTGCAGTATTGCAGTTATATCTGGAAATGTGTCAACATTGGGTGGAGCTTTTCAACTAATCCTATTTACAAAAGGGGGCGCTACAGAAGCAGTTTGGGGATCCACTGATTTCAACCATCATAACTTTGCTTTTCTGACCAAAGCAGAACAGAAACAAACACCACACAGAGACACAGACCTGGCAGATGAGTCCAGCAGCACAGTGACGACCTGACACACTGACAAGAACCAACAAAACTCACTGAGGGAAGAGGAGCGGGGAGGGGGGGGGAGGGTTATAACCCAGGCACCAGGTGTGACCAGTGAGAGAAAACGAGACCAGCAGAGCAGCAGGCCACAGGTGTGAGCGATCGACCGCCTCGTCAGGGACGGACGTGACACCACATCACTTTATCTGGAGCCTGTTCAACCATATCTGTGCCCCCCAAGGGCCTGCCCCCCCCCCCCCACTTTGGGAACCACTGGTTACATAATTGTGTCTTATATTAAAGTTGCCAATGAACTATAAAAAAAAACAGCTTTATAAATATTTAATTCAAATTTAAACAAGTGCAGAATTCTTACATTAACCAAAAAAAAAAAAAAAAAAAAAAATCACGACCCCTCCTCTCAGTACATCGTGAACACCCCAGGGCCTGTGCACCCCCTGTTGAAGAACTTTGCTTTAAAATAATCAAAACAACCCCACAACATGCCGTTAGGCCAAGAAAAAAAAAAAAAATTCCCAGAAG